AAAACATTATTTGTCAAAAGGCATAAAAAGTGAATTTTTAGAAAATTGTATATAATAATAATAATTATATCAAGTAATAATTACATCAATCGTAATTAATAATTATATATATAAATAGATTTTCTCGATTACCTATTAAATAATCTTGTTGTCTTTTCAATTAATCACTATTATACATTCTTCTATGGAATTCCTTAGTTAGCATTGATTAACGTATAAATAATTCATTGACATCGGCATGACAATATTCGCATAGTCGACAAAAACAATTAACAATGAGGTAAAGTTCTAAATATCGATGATACAGAGATATTTTTTAAATTTTTTTAGCGCACTGTTATATCATCTCTAGAATTCATGTTGTAAATTTAATTAACTGCTTTATTCAGCAATATTATATTAAAAATTGTAAATATTATCTATATATATTATGATATATTACATATAGAAAATTGTTATATAAAATAATTTTGCAAAAGTGTTTAAAAAAAAATCAGCGCTGTAAGTACCGCTGATTCTTATTATTGTCCATTGTTATCATATCAAGAATCTTTTTTCTTTTAATATTTAAGAAATAATCAATAAGCCAGAGATAATTCTACTTCAAAGTATTTTTATGTACGTCTAAAATACACGGATGTGAAAAATAAGTAATTTTATACAATTATTATTTTTTCTATAATTCAAATCTAGTCAAATTGACGTTTGTTGTAGAACATTAAAGGCAGAGTAGGACGTTTTCAAAATCTACAAAGAGAAGGATCATTAATTATTTTGTTATTGCTGTTAAGTCATTTACACTTAAAGTGCACTATCGTCATAATTTTACCCAAGTAAAAGTGTCGAGAGCCAAGTTAAAAATTCCGTAATAAGAAAGTCTTAATCCCCTTTGACTAATGATCATCACAAAGAGCAAACTTCTGCGATCTCGCGTCGTAGCGATAGTCCAATTGCTCGAATAAATAGCATTACCGATATTCTTGCTCTATAACGCACACAACAAAAAATATCTTTATCATTCAAATTTGTTTCTTGAGATGATTTACAATTTGGCAAAATAATAATATTTAATAAATATTAAAATAGAGTGTGTTTTATGATTTCATATACATGTAATATAATTTAGATTTCGCAGTTATTATTATCTCAAATTATTAGCTTGTAATTTCATAATTACAGATTAATCAAAGTAAAAAATAGATAACAATCACGCAAAATTCGATAAATTAGTGATGAGAAAGACTCTTAAATTGATAAAAATAATAAATAATGGACCAAGGACTAGTAAGAGTCAAGCGCGGATCTTATTGCGTATAATTTAATAACTATTTGAATTAAAACATACGATAATGTAATAAATACGATAATGTAATAAACGAACGTTTTGGCTCATTTTCGAGTCATCTTCAGCGCAAAGGAGTGGTCTTATATACAAGTAGGGAAACAAAAACCGGTGTCAATGGCAAACAATCAGCAAAAATTGTGATCTGTAGGCAGCACCCAATGGGCATTCCCGAACGAATCCTCGTCCATGAACCCAGTTGCATGATCCGATGGAACCATATTGTACGCAATAATCACAGAACCACATCATTGAGCGGAGAAAGCAGAACGCAAGCAATATGCACATGTATGGAAGTCAATATATAAATGTCCGAGAGAGAGAGTAATATAAATAATATATGGTCAAAAGACGATCCAACTTTAAAAGTGTATATGAAAAATTTTACAAAAGAGTAAGGAAAGAGCAGTAAATGTCAGGTACGCGGTCA